ATCTAGTTTCATTATTTTTGCATGTAGCTGTCCAGTCTTCCCAGCACCATTCATTGAAGAGACTGCTTTTTCCCATTTATGATGTTAGCTGTGGTTTGTAATAAGGCTTTTATTGTGTTAAGGTGTATTCCCTCCATATCCACTTTGTTGAGAGTTTTTATCAGAATGAGTTGAATTTTGTCACATCCTTTTCCTGCATCTATTGAGATAATCATGGCTTTTATCCTACCTTTTGCTAATGTGGTATCACACTTGAGTGATTTATGGATATCAAATCTTCTATGCATCACTGAAATAAAGCCCACTTAGTCATGGTGAATGATCCTTTTAATGTATTTTTAAATTCAGTTTGCTAATATTTTATTGAGGATTTTTACATCTGTGTTCCATCAGCAATATTGGCCTGTAATTTTCTTTTTTGTAGTGTCTTAGTCTGGTTTTGGTATCAGAATAATGCTGGCTACATAGAATGAATTTAGGAGCATTCCTTCCTGTTACAGTTTTTCAAATAGTTTGAGAAGGATGGGTATTAGCTCTTCTTTAAATGTTAGGTAGAATTCACCTATGCAGTCATCTGATCCTGGTTTCTGTTGGATCCTGGTTTTTATTACTGTGAGGAAAATTGAAGCGCCTATGGCCAGAATCCTCACCTGAACCTAAACTACTTGATGATGTAATTGGCCTGCTGCTAGGCTACTGCTTCCACACCTGTAGGCAATGAGCTATTATTGACTGAGTCACTATATAAAGAGCTCTGCCCAGGGCTCTGGGCGGAGGCAGAGACAAAGGAGGATTACAAACATTCTAGTGCTTGACCTCTTGCGGGGAGAACAAGCCAGGTAATAACCCTTTTACCCCAAGAACGTTCCATTGTCATTCCTCAGTCTCACTGAATTCATAGTGAACGTGCCCAGGACTGAAATCCATTGGCAAGACAGTTACTGATTCAGTTTTGTTCATTGATTTATTCAGATTTTGTATTTCTTCATGGTTCAGTCTTGGAAGACTGCATGTTACTAAGAATTTATCCACTTCTTCTAGGTTGTCTAATTTTTGGGCATGTAAATGTTGATAGTAATCTCCTTTAATCCTTTGTAATTCTGTGGTGTCAGTTGTAATTTCTCTTCATTTCTGATTTTGATTCCTTTTTCTTGATGAGTCTGGCTTCAGGTTTATCAATTTTATCTTTTCACAGAATCAACTCTTAGTTTCTTTGATTTGTTTTTTTTTAGTCTCTTTCATTTATTTCTGCTCTGATCTTTGATTTCCTTCCTTCTACTAAGTTTGAGCTTTGTTCTTTTACTAGGTCCTTTAGGTGTAAGGTTAGAAAATTTGAGATTTTTCTTGTTTCATGAGGTAAATCTGTATCACTATAAACTTCCCTCTTAGAACTACTTTTGCTGCATCCTAAAGATTTTGAACCACTGTTTCCATTTTCATTAGTCTCGGTAATTTTTATTTCTTTTTTGATTTTTTCATTGACCCACTGATTAATAGTATGTTGCTTAACCTCCATGTTTGTGTTTTCTTTCAGTTTTTTCCTTGTAATTGATTTCTAGTTGCATACTATTGTGTTGGGAAAAGATGCTTGATATGATTTCAGTCTTGTTGAATTTTTTGAGGCTCATTTAGTGGCTTAATGGATCTGTGTTCCATGTGTACTTGAAAAGTGTATTCTGCTTTTTTTGGATGAATGTTCTGTATATATCTGTTAACTCCATCTGGTCTAATATGGCATTTAAAGCCACTGTTGCCTTGTTGATATTCTGTCTGGATGATCTATCCATTGATGTAAATGACATGTTAAAAAAAGTCCTCTCCTGGTACTGTATTGCTGTCAACTTCTCCCTGTATGTCTGTTAATATTTGCTTTGTATATTTAGGTGCCCCTTTCTTGGGTCATAGAATTTTCAGCTTTTATATTTTCTTGCTGGATTGAACCCTTTATCATTTTGTCACTCTTGTCTCTTATTATGGTCTTTGTTTTAAAGTCTTTTGTCTGGTATAAATACTGCTGCCCAGCTTTTTTTTTCATTTCCATTTTCATGGAATGTCTTTTTCCATCCCTTCAGTTTCATTCTGTGTGTGTCTTTAGGTCTGAAATGAATCTCTGATAGGCAGCATATTGATGGGTCTTGTTTTTTTATCCATTCAATTACTGTGGAGCATTTGATCCATTTACACTTAAAGTAATTATTGATAGGTATGTACTTATTGCCATTTTGTTACATGTTTTCTGATTGTTTTATAGTTCCTCTCTGATCCTTTCTTCTCTTGCTATATTCCCTTGTGTGTGACTATTGATTTTAATGTTGGGCTAAGATTCCCTTCTCTTTATTTTTTGTGTTTCTATTACAGATTTTTGGTTTGTTGTTACCATGAGGTCCATATATGACAGCCTGTATATATAGCAGTCTATGTTAAGTTGATGATCACTCAAGTTTGAACACATTCTAGCCCACACTACATTTTCCCTCTCCTCTGTTTTATTTATATGTGTGTGCATGTGATATCCTATTTTACACCTTTTTACTTAGTGATTCCCTTAACTAACATTTTAGATATAGTAGATTTTACTAGTTTTGTCTTTTAACCTTCATAATCTCTTTTAAGTGATTGATTTCATATCTTTATTTTTATTATTACCAGTGAAATTTTTTCCTCAATTTTCTTGCTTCTAGTTATAACCTTTTCTTTACCTCTTAAAGGAATCTAACACTTCTTGGAAGGCTGGTTTAGTGGTGGAAAACTCCTTTGTGTTTACCTGGGAAACTCTTTATCTCTTCTTCAATTCTGAATGATAACCTTGCTAGATAGAATATTCTTAGTTGTAGGTTTTCCTTTCAGTACTTTGAGTATATTACCCCACTCTCTTCTCACCTGTGAAGTTTCTGCTGAAAAATCAGCTGATAGCCTTATGGGGTTTCCCTTATATGTATAACTCATTGCTTTTCTTTTGCTGCTTTTAAGATTCTTTATCTTTAATCACTGACATTTTAATTTTTATGTTTCTTGGTGTGGATTCCTTGGGTTTGTTAGTTTGGGTCTGTGTTTTCTGGCCCTGGATATCTGTATCTTTCCTGAGGTTAGGGACATTTTCATTTATTATTTCTTACAAGTTTTCCACCCCTTTCTCTCTCTTTTCCTCTTGGAACTCCTACAATACAAATGTTAATACATTTGATGTCCCAGAGGTCCTGTAACCTATCCTTGTTTTTTTTATTTTTATTTATTATTTTTGCTGTTCAGCTTTAGTGCCTTCCATTACCCTATCTTCCAGATCACTGATCCATTCTTCTCTATTCTCTAATTTGCTGTTAGTTCCCTCTAGCGTATTTTTCATTTCATTTATTATATTCTTCAATTCTGATTGGTTCTTTTTTATATTTTCTATCTCTGTTGAAGTCCTTCCTGAGTTCATCTACTTCATCCACCATTACTTTAAACTCTTTATCAGGTAGATTGCTTAACTCCATTTCATTTAGTTCTTTCTCTGAAGTTATGTTTTGTTCTTTCATTTGGAGCATATTCCTCTGTCTCATTTTGTTGCTCTTTTTGTGTATTGATTCTATGAGTTAGGTGAAACAGCTACCTGTTTGAGTCTTTGTGGAGTGGCCTGTGTAGAAACCTCTTCTGGGTGGACTGGCTAGCTGGCTGGCAGTTGGGTAAGTGTAGGCAGAGGGTGTCTCCAGTATGCACCGCACCAGGGTGCCCTGGCTCGGGGAGAGGCACAGGCCATGGGAAGTCCTGGTGTGCACTGGGCTGGGGGGGGTCTCTGAGGGGATCACCAGGAGGCCAAGGGGTATGGACCAGCTGGCTGCAGTTTAAAAATTACCTGGAGAGCTTTAAAAAGAAACACCCAGGCCAGCCCCCAGATACTCTGATTTTTGAGATCAACATCATTTTCCCCGTGATTCTAACACACAGGTAAAGTTAAAGACCACTACAGTATTGCCTGCACCTCCAAAACATGAAATGAAAGACTTGTTTAGATGTGTCATATTGTTAATATTCTTTTGTATGATGTTAGAGTTTGGGCTCTAGGTTTTAGTTTGATAATTTTATCTTGAAAGTAATAGTTTTGTTATTCCTTTCCACCTTGCTCATTCTTAGATTGTTTAGTTGTGAAACCACTAAAATTTAAATTCTGAAGTTTAGAATTTGTCATATTTTAATATTTTTGAAATCTGGATGAGTCTTAAAATTAAAGGCTATAAAACTAGACAGCCACCAGGTAGTAGTAAATTGTGACGTGTAGTATATCTTTTTGTAGAAAACAGCTGTTTGTATCACTAATACTATAAACTGTTGAATGAGTGCTTTAATTGGTGCTTCAGGTGTCTTCAAATAAAGAACATTGGAGTGCATCCTTAAAGTAGTTTATTGTATTCACAATTTATTGTAAGCATTTACCCATTCAGATAAGTGTAAGGCAGCATGTTAGATCATTAGTGTACTTTGAAGCTAGTAAAGGTTACAGAACAGTCATAGAATTTTCAAAGCTGAGCAAAATTGTTGTAATAAACTCCTGTGTCATCAAAAATTGCTTTTGGAGGGTAAATACAGAAACGTCCAACTGAGTTTCAGAAGAATTTAACTTCTAACAATACATAATTCATGTGGGAAAAATGAGCCTGTGAGTAGGATACAATAGAATGCAGGTAAAATCCCAGCATTTTGTAGGTCTTAAAATTCTGAAATTTCTAGAGCCTGACAAAATGAATGTGATGGTATATATAAATAATGTCATTGATTCAGAAGATTTTAGACTTAATGAAAAGAACTTAGAGAATTTAGAGTTTTTCATTTTATGTCGAGGCAGATGAAGTAATTTTTCTGCTGTTAGGCAGCAAAATCAATATTAGTAAAATCAAGTTAGCAATTTTAGAGTTTGTGTTAGAAAAGATGTTCTAATAGTGATTTCATTGAGAAAGTTTTGGTCCTTTAACTTTTGTAGGTTTTGTTTTATAAGTTAGATAATTGTGTTTGCATGTTGTATACTGTTAGGCAGCAAAATCAATATTAGTAAAATCAAGTTAGCAATTTTAGAGTTTGTGTTAGAAAAGATGTTCTAATAGTGATTTCATTGAGAAAGTTTTGGTCCTTTAACTTTTGTAGGTTTTGTTTTATAAGTTAGATAATTGTGTTTGCATGTTGTATGTGTAGAATTCCCCTTCGTAATCTTTTATGCTGAAATAAATCTGTTAAAGGCTTACCTTTAGAGTCCTTCCCTGATTGAATTACGGTCACCTTTGTGAGCTGTTCTCACTAATTAAAAATGCCTTGTGAGAATGTAGATTTGAGAACAGTGAGACTCTAGAAAGCTGAAACCCCTTTCTGTATTGAATGGGATACTGAAGGATTGATGCAAGGCCACAGGACATTGAATATGTTAGTACAGTGCTCTTGGCATCTCTTTTTAAGATTATTTAGGGAACTTCCTTTGGAGGAGTTTATCATTGCTTGGTTTGCATGTGCTTTAATCGTCGTAGATTGTTTGCTATTTATTCTGTGCATTGTCATGTAGGTGGGCGATCCGATGTTTCCTTTAAGTGATGGTTTGTAGCGCTGCAGAGCACTTACAGTTCTTGAAATCAAAAGGATGTTGGGAAGATAAATGCAAAGGGTTGAGGTTTTAAATAGAAAAATATATAAATTAGATCTGCTAAACAGTATGATCCATCTTATTTTTATTTTGTAAGAGTCCATGTCTAGAAGGATTTTCTCTTTATATAAACTTCCCCATTTTCTAATAGAATAGACTTAAAAGTAATATTTTGGTATATTTTAAGGCTGATGCTTCCAGATCAATTACTGGCCAAGAATTATGGCTACAAGTTTGTAGACACTGATACAAGCCTTCAATTAAATAATGTTAATTTTGAGAGGTAAATGATGGCCACATTTCCTGAATCAATTCTTCCTGACTTGGGGAGGTAACTCCACCAAATTTGACTATAGTATGTGGTGTACTTAGGCCAACACTAGGTCCAAGCTGTTATAAATTAAAATTGTAAATATTTTATGTACTTTCAGTTAAATCACTCCTCCACTTACATGTTTGCAGATGCTTGGCTTTCTTTACCTGTGAAACACTATGTGTTTTAGTAAAAGTTGAATTAAGCAATATTAAGAGTTCATTTCATTCCAGTTTAGCACAAATTTTGCCTAAGTATGCAAATCTCCACAAACACATTTAACATATTTTACTTAGAAATGTAAACATTTGAGTAGTTATGAAGTTCAAAAGGAATATTTGCTTGAAATCATAAAAAAATAGTAAAATTCCTTTCAAATTGGTAATATTTTCCCTGCAGTTCACTTTCATTGAAATATATTATCTTTTTTGCATACTAGGCAGAAGCAATTTAGCAACATTAAATCTGTATCTTCTTACTTTATTGTAGCCAACTACTTTGAGGTGAAACCATCACATTTTGTTTTGCTAAATACTGATACAGTTGCAGCATATACTGATTTACTAGGGTTTCACATTTTAGGGCTAAAACCTGTGGGGTGACTGTTTAGCACTGAGAAGAATTTGTTATACACTTGCTACTAGAGTTGTAAACTAAAACCAAGAAAAAACAAAAAATCTGTTAATTTTTGAATATTTACTTGTAATCACAGGCTTTCCACATTATTAGAATGACTTATACCTTAGCTATTTTACTAGAATAATGATTTAGGCTATTCAGTACAGTAAATTTTTTTAGAATTTGATATAAGCAGATCTTTTTCTTTTTTTTTTTTTTTCAGAAATTAGTAAACTCTTTCGGAGCCACAGCTGATCCTTCAGTTCCAGAGGCTTCTTCTGGTGTCTGTAGCTCTTGACACTGGTACTTCACTTTAAGTGGTTTGCCGGGGTACCAGACCAGGTGAACACGACAGGGAATGATTTCCTAGGAAATAAGAGTTCTAAAGTATGACCTGCAAAAACTTCTGGTAAAACAATTCTGTATACAATTTTGTGTTTTACCTGTGTCGAGAATTCATGGAGTAGAACAGTATAATCAAAATCAATTGCACCATCATTTGTTTTCTAGAGGAAGAAAAAGAATATTAATAAATAGTATTTATATTAGCTCAGAATTTGGAAGGCTGATCTCGAATAAATTCTTGTTTAGGTGGGTGCCTTGAATCTCCTGCTGCCTCTTTGATTGTAGCCTCATTTCCTTGGGTAGTAACCTGCATTGAGATAAGGAAGTCATGGACTCTCATGTTTTGTCATTTGAGTCACATGAAAATCTAAATGAAATCTTTGTCACTTTTTCTCTCTAATATTTACCGGTTTTGGAGGCTAAGGTCTGTGGGGATAGGGAGAATCTTTTGACAACCTTAGGAATCTAGGTACTGTATATGCACCTCAGGTGTTTGTTAGCCCTGATATACCAGGCACTAAATCAAGGGTCAGGGCATCCAGTATTTCTAGAATGCCACCACGGGCCAGGTTCTCTGCTGGACACTTTATACACGTTCTCATGTAATTTTCCTGTCTCACAGGAGTATGTATTGTGAGCCTGGTTTTACAGAGTAGGTGACTTGAGTTTACAGCTGGTAAGTGGAGATTCAAATGCAGATCTACTGACTCCACCATCCGCATTCTTCATGCTTTACCAAACTGCTTTTAAAAACTGCACTAGGTATTTATAGGTTGGCAGGCAGTCTTCATCACCTCTTTTATTTGCTTGATTTCTATAAATTTTACGAGTGGACTAAGCCAATTTCCTATTTTCAACACCTCTTGTTTCATTTTTTGGGTGGGGGAGCAAGCAAGGTACTTATCCCTTTACTAGGAAAAATGGAAGAAATAAAAAAATAAATTCAATTTGAATTATAATTTTAATGTGTCAGGTTTTTAATTGAGACTGTTAAAGAATATGAAAAAACAAAAACAATCAAAAAAGGGCTTAATATTAAGTTTTGTCTTTCCTTTGCTTACACTGATGGAGATTTTTATAAGCCATGAAATTTCCTCTGCAAGCAGAGGGAGAGAGGGTGCTGGGGGAGAAATTGTAAGAGAGGGCCTTGATCTGCCAGAAGCTGCCTGCTTTTCTATGGGGTTTGCACCACTGGGCAGTTTTCCCTGCTGCCTGCCGTGTGCTAGTGACCATGCAAACACCTGAGGCACACGCTGCAGAGCCATGGAATTCCCGAGAGAAAATGCAGCATGTCTCCCGGCAGAACAGTTTCTGGAGGCTCCTGTGAGCAGTCGGGCATTGCTGGCTTTAAGGGTGTATTTAGCCTTGTTTTACCCTCTCTTGGTGCTGTTTTACCATGAAAAGCAATGATTACTCCAAGATGCTCCACACCAGCTGGGTGCTGTGTTGTATGGTTTCTGTCTCATATTTTTGTGCTACCTACACTGTTTCTCAAGGCCTATTTCCCATGTAGTTCTATAATGTAATTGTTTTTACTTACAAACTTAGTATTTTTCAGGACAATGCTACCTTATTCTACCTTTGAAAATAGCATTTCTGAAGGAAACCATGACAGTCTGCAGATTTTAGGCAAAAAAGAGGCAAGGCTCGAAACATGATGGGAATCCAACTTCATTCGATAAACTATACTGCTAAATAGAGTAATTTTTAATACAAGAATGTGGATTATTATAATGTTCAGAAACCCTTTAGCATTTAATTAAGATCCTCCTCAGTGAGGCTGTGAAACACCCTTACATTTCTGTTTCTATAGATTCTTCCTCCTCCGAGAGGCAACACCCTTAAACCAAACCGAAAAACAGGGCTTATGAAAGAACCGCAGATGGGGACACTGCACACGTCAGCCTGGCCAGGCGTTCCAGGCAGTGACTGCCCTCACCCAGTCAAGAAGTGGTTATTTTTCATATTCAGAAATAATCTTCCTGGTTTCTATTCAAATCACCACAAATGTCCAGTCCTCATAGTTCAAACTGACGATTTCTTGTCACAGTTTCTGGTGACCCAGCACTTTGATCTTCCTGGAGACAGCCTGACGCGTGCTGTTTGCTCCCCTTTACTTACTCGTGACCCACCGCATCCTCCACCCCCCAAAAAGGAGGAGAATGAGCCTCACAGGGCCAGTGTGGTCTTAGCGTACATGGCCTTAGGTTATTAGTATATGCTATCAACTTGGTTTCTTAGCCGAATAAATAAAATAGATAAGATGGTTTCTGTTATATATCCATGGCCAGTAGGGCTTCTGGTTAGGGTGAGGACTTCCTGTTTCTGTGCCGTCTCGTTCCGTCAGCCCTACTGTCCTGCCAGGACAGCATCTAGACCTCACGGCCTTAGTGACTTTAAAAAAAACTGTTCCTTATTGCTGCTTTTGCTTAAAGATCATGGGACATCTTGGCCACTGAGTAGTGGCAGAATTTGATAATCTGTGTGGATGTGTGTGTACTTCAAGAGAAATATTCGAGGCTGAAAAACATACCAGCCTTGACACCATATTTCCTAATTGCTTTAGTGATTGAGATTTATGTTAGTTTCATGAACTTCATTAAGTTAATCCTCACTTAATAGGCTTTAAGCAATGAAGTGGTTTGCATTAGGTGACCCAGCAAATCAGGTGCATATTTAATATTTATCTATCTAAAACCCAAACCCCACTGTTGTCAAAAAAAAAAAAAAAGAACCTAAAACTCCTACTCAGTGACCATTTTCCCTTTGTATTTTTGTTTTCTTACAATTACATTTGTCCCCACTTTCCCAGCAGATTGGTTGAGGGATATTAGTGGACAGATGATAGATAACCAAAGACGAGCTAGATGGGGACAAACACGGGGCCGCTATGTATGAACTGCGGTATGTCCTGGCACTTAGTTGGTAATGAACAGCTACAAAACAAAGGGAAACGCTGACATTAAAATATCCTAATTCTTTTCTCTGTTGTCCCTGTGTTGCTCTGTTCTTATCCAGTTTTCCTCTCATACTCAAACTGGGTACCATTTCCTTTCCTTTTTCATTTGTGTACTGTAAACAAATGTTGCCATTGTTGGGAAGGTAAAAACCTCTTGTTGCAAATATGACCATCTTGGTAAGTGAGAGAGAAATTTAGCAAAAGAACCAGTGCAGCATTCTGACTTGTAATAGAGCAGCAATCAGTTAAATGGTTGCTTCTAGTAAGCAGCAGCTCTGTAAAGGGAAAGAAGTGTGTTCTTTGACAAGTAAAGGAGAAAACGACTTCTCTAGCTGTGTTTTACAAGTGGCCTTTGGAGGGCACACCGCACTCTCACTGACATTCCTAAAGCTGACCTGTGGCTGGGGAAAGCCTTCTGCTCAACAGATACTCACTGCAGTGAATTTACTGCTCCCCCAATCCATGAAGAAAATGGCTTTTAGAAATGTGTACGTAGGATTGGCTCAGCTGGCCTCTCCGAGTGGTTGGTTGTGTTTACTCTGGAAATACCCTTCTCTCTCTACATGACACTTGCCTGACAAACCCCAATCCCGGCTCAGCCCAGCTGGGCCCACTCCATGTGCACACCCACACGGCTAGAGGCCCTGGTCGTCCTCTGCACTGCCACAGACCTCTAAGGGGCCCACCTTGCTGCACGATGTCACGTTCATGCACTCCCGACCCCTCCGCTCTCACCCGTCATCTCAGCTGATCACTTGGCCTGCTGGTCTGTCTTTGTGAAGACAGATGCAGTTGGGACCTCGGCAAGCTACCACCGTGGTACCTCCCTTCTCCCAGCATCTGCACCATGCTTCTCTGCCTTCACTCCAGGTGAACTCCATGTTCCTAAGGTCATCTGGATCATCTTACCCTCTCTTGCCCAGTCAAAGATAGTAACCCCACCAATTCTTCCTTCTCTTTCCTGCAAGCCCTACTTTGCCCCACTCTCTTGGATTTTTCGTATTATGTTGTTGAGATGCTGTTAAGTCTCCCAATCTAAAAACAGAAAACAAACCTCTTAACCCAGTGCTTCGCCATCTTCCAGCTCTAGCACCTCCCTTTCTTTTACTCCCCATTATAACTAAATTGCTTGAGAGAGACAGAGTGTCCGCCTCCTCTCCTCCCGTTCTCTCCTCACCTACTCCAGGCAGATTTTTGCCCCCACACTGAGCCATAGCTCTTCATAAGCTCTCCATTGACTGGAATTCCAGCTTCCAAAATAAAATGGCTAGTTCTCAGTTCTGTCTTACTGAACTTCCCAGCAGCATTTAATAGTCAATTCTCATCCCTGAAACACTTTTCTTGTATCTCCACCTCTAAAGAGTGTTGCCAAGACCCAGTCCTTACATGGCCTCTTTTCTGTCTGCACTGTTTCTCTGATCTCATCCATTCTTGTGGCCTTAAATACCATCTGGATGGTGATGACTCCAGCCAGACCCCGTCCCTTGAACTTCAGACTGTTAACGTCCAGATGTTACACAAACTCTTTATTTGATTATAGAATTCAGTATGCCCCAAATCAAGCTAATTTCCACCCAAATCCATTCCTCCTGTAGTCTTACCCAATCAGTAAATGAAAACTCTTATCTTTCCACTTACTCAGGCCAAAATCCCAAGAATTATCCTTGACTTTTCTCATTCTCTGATATATGCAATAATCCAGTGCACGAACAAACACTGTTGGTTGACCTTCAAAATATATCACGAATCCAAACACTTCACACCGCTTCCACTGCTCTCTCCCAGCCCAAGTTAACCACCAGCACTTGCCTAGGTTACTGCAATTCCTAACTGGTCTCTCTCCTCCCACCCTGAGCTCTCTACAGCCTGTCCTCAACGTAGCAGCTAGAATGGCCTATTATATGTCAGATCATGTCACTCTACTACAAGCCTTCTAATGGGTAAAAGACAAGGTCCTCCTAATGGCCTGCAGTGTCTTCCATGAACGGTTCCCTGTGTCCGGTCTCACCTCCTAGCACACTCCCCTTGCTCACTCTGTCCAGCCCTACCAGCCTCTCTGCTGTCTCTCCAGCCCATCAGCCACTGGCTGCCTCAGTTCCCTCTGCCTGAAATTCTCTTCCCTGATGGAAGCATGGCTCACTTTTACTTCCCTTAGCATCTGCTCACGTTAGAGGGGCCTTAGACTAAGTAGTAGTTCTGTCAATATCCTGCATTCTTCCCTTTTTCCTGCCTTTTCTCTCTGCTTCACATCAGCTGAGTCACTTCAGTGGGCAGGGCTTGTTTCTTACTAGCGATGGCACAGCTATCCGTGTTCACTTACCAGGTCACTGTCTTACCCTAATGTTGCCATTGTTGGGAAGGTAAAAACCTCTTGTTGCAAATATGACCATCTTGGTAAGTGAGAGAGAAATTTAGCAAAAGAACCAGTGCAGCATTCTGACTTGTAATAGAGCAGCAATCAGTTAAATGGTTGCTTCTAGTAAGCAGCAGCTCTGTAAAGGGAAAGAAGTGTGTTCTTTGACAAGTAAAGGAGAAAACGACTTCTCTAGCTGTGTTTTACAAGTGGCCTTTGGAGGGCACACCGCACTCTCACTGACATTCCTAAAGCTGACCTGTGGCTGGGGAAAGCCTTCTGCTCAACAGATACTCACTGCAGTGAATTTACTGCTCCCCCAATCCATGAAGAAAATGGCTTTTAGAAATGTGTACGTAGGATTGGCTCAGCTGGCCTCTCCGAGTGGTTGGTTGTGTTTACTCTGGAAATACCCTTCTCTCTCTACATGACACTTGCCTGACAAACCCCAATCCCGGCTCAGCCCAGCTGGGCCCACTCCATGTGCACACCCACACGGCTAGAGGCCCTGGTCGTCCTCTGCACTGCCACAGACCTCTAAGGGGCCCACCTTGCTGCACGATGTCACGTTCATGCACTCCCGACCCCTCCGCTCTCACCCGTCATCTCAGCTGATCACTTGGCCTGCTGGTCTGTCTTTGTGAAGACAGATGCAGTTGGGACCTCGGCAAGCTACCACCGTGGTACCTCCCTTCTCCCAGCATCTGCACCATGCTTCTCTGCCTTCACTCCAGGTGAACTCCATGTTCCTAAGGTCATCTGGATCATCTTACCCTCTCTTGCCCAGTCAAAGATAGTAACCCCACCAATTCTTCCTTCTCTTTCCTGCAAGCCCTACTTTGCCCCACTCTCTTGGATTTTTCGTATTATGTTGTTGAGATGCTGTTAAGTCTCCCAATCTAAAAACAGAAAACAAACCTCTTAACCCAGTGCTTCGCCATCTTCCAGCTCTAGCACCTCCCTTTCTTTTACTCCCCATTATAACTAAATTGCTTGAGAGAGACAGAGTGTCCGCCTCCTCTCCTCCCGTTCTCTCCTCACCTACTCCAGGCAGATTTTTGCCCCCACACTGAGCCATAGCTCTTCATAAGCTCTCCATTGACTGGAATTCCAGCTTCCAAAATAAAATGGCTAGTTCTCAGTTCTGTCTTACTGAACTTCCCAGCAGCATTTAATAGTCAATTCTCATCCCTGAAACACTTTTCTTGTATCTCCACCTCTAAAGAGTGTTGCCAAGACCCAGTCCTTACATGGCCTCTTTTCTGTCTGCACTGTTTCTCTGATCTCATCCATTCTTGTGGCCTTAAATACCATCTGGATGGTGATGACTCCAGCCAGACCCCGTCCCTTGAACTTCAGACTGTTAACGTCCAGATGTTACACAAACTCTTTATTTGATTATAGAATTCAGTATGCCCCAAATCAAGCTAATTTCCACCCAAATCCATTCCTCCTGTAGTCTTACCCAATCAGTAAATGAAAACTCTTATCTTTCCACTTACTCAGGCCAAAATCCCAAGAATTATCCTTGACTTTTCTCATTCTCTGATATATGCAATAATCCAGTGCACGAACAAACACTGTTGGTTGACCTTCAAAATATATCACGAATCCAAACACTTCACACCGCTTCCACTGCTCTCTCCCAGCCCAAGTTAACCACCAGCACTTGCCTAGGTTACTGCAATTCCTAACTGGTCTCTCTCCTCCCACCCTGAGCTCTCTACAGCCTGTCCTCAACGTAGCAGCTAGAATGGCCTATTATATGTCAGATCATGTCACTCTACTACAAGCCTTCTAATGGGTAAAAGACAAGGTCCTCCTAATGGCCTGCAGTGTCTTCCATGAACGGTTCCCTGTGTCCGGTCTCACCTCCTAGCACACTCCCCTTGCTCACTCTGTCCAGCCCTACCAGCCTCTCTGCTGTCTCTCCAGCCCATCAGCCACTGGCTGCCTCAGTTCCCTCTGCCTGAAATTCTCTTCCCTGATGGAAGCATGGCTCACTTTTACTTCCCTTAGCATCTGCTCACGTTAGAGGGGCCTTAGACTAAGTAGTAGTTCTGTCAATATCCTGCATTCTTCCCTTTTTCCTGCCTTTTCTCTCTGCTTCACATCAGCTGAGTCACTTCAGTGGGCAGGGCTTGTTTCTTACTAGCGATGGCACAGCTATCCGTGTTCACTTACCAGGTCACTGTCTTACCCTCTTGCTGGAATTAATCTCAGTGAGGCAGCTACATTGTGTTCTTTGTTCACTGCTGTATCCTCAGTCCCTAAATCTGACCCATTGCAGGCATTCAGATATTTACAGAATGAATAAAATGTAAAACTCTTGCCATGAAATTAGAAATTCACATTGATTTAGTCTAAGAACACTGCACTGGTTTTATCATGAATTAAATTTTCAGTTTTTCTTACCCATTGCTTCACACTGCTGAGCTGTGCCATGTAGTAGTGTAAAAACTGGCTTGTCTTTTCCCACATCACGTAAGAGCTGCCAAGAAAAGCCAAATCCCAAATGGGCCTCAGGGATGGATCAATATGCCCATGACTATCTGAGAGGGAGAAAAAAAAAATTTATATTAAGGTAATTTGGGGACAAAATCTCATAGACTTCAGGAATGAAACAGGGGCTTAAGCTTGGTCACAACAGTAATCTCACAGCAAGACCTTGAACTGGACACTTGCTCATATCTCTTTCTGTATATATGGAGATTTATGTGTTCCAACTTGCCCTACTGAGTAGAGCTACCGTAACAATTTAAGCACTATTTGTTGTATTATATAAATGCAAAGTAAGAGCTATAATAATACTCAAAGTTAATATAAAGTCTTTTTGAGAAGAGTCTTTGGTTGAAAAGCCTACCTTCTGGTTTGGGTGTAGGTCAGTGCAGTGGTCTTTGCTGGTCTACAGAACATCTTTGTCCTTCCCTTATCATTGGCTTTAAAACTAACGAATGTATTGGCAGTTTCTCTGTCACGTTTTTGAACACATGAAGAGATCAAGTGGGTTTTTTCCATGGTATCATTTTTGGACCCACAATCTTATAATTCAGCAAACATTTATAAAATCCTATTTAATATCAGATACTACAAGAGGCAGGAATACAATGATTAATAAATTACCTTTTGTGACTTTCAGGAACTCAAATTTTAGCAAGTAATTAACTTGTGAGATAAGTGTTCATGGACCATCATTTTATGCAATTTGGTGGAGATGTTCTTAGGTTATATTAAGGCCCAATAGTTTAACATGTAAGAAATACTAACAAGCTTATTAAGCTAATCCTTCTTCATAAAATAATCTTTAGCATAAATTCTCTGTATTGGTAGGACTTGACTGGTTTATAATGGTAGTCAATGCAAAAAGCATTCACTGATTGCTTGGGTGTTGTGAGGGATGCAGAGATGGGTTCCTGCCCTCCACTTGTGAACAGGGTGGGAACCGCTGATACCTATTAGGAGAGAGGAGCAGAGTCAGAGAGCTGAGGAAGCACAGGCAAGGGAGATTTCTTTGGGCTGAAGAGGTTTGGGGAAAGCTTCACAGAGATGAGATTTGAGCTGAGCCTTGACTTCCTGCAATGTATGGGGGTGGGATTGAGAGACAGTAAAGAGCCCTTCATCTGACTACTTGTCGCCTATCACCTACAGTGCTACTCAGTTTAGACCGTGAGATCAAAGCCCATTATCATAGAAGCTAAATTATACTAACACTGAATAAGGAGAACGTTTAGAGGATGAATGAATGCGTGTAGCACTGCTGTAGAATCACGCAGGCATGGGACGTTGGCTGGTGGTTCCCAGGTCCTCAGTCCTCCCTTTGTATGTATTGTACTTGGGCTCTGCTCTAGGAAGTTTATGAATTCATTAGGAACAGTGAAATTTTTACTAATTAAAAAGCAGACAACTACTTTTCTAGAGGAAAAACCGTGTGTGGAGCAAGGGTATCCTGAAATGGATTCCATCTTCTCACTCATCAGTTGCACTACAACTGTCCAAAACCTTGTCCTAATTAAGTACTGCACAGAATCTGAGATTTGAACTGGCTAATCCAAGGATATCTGCATAGTACTGATTCACTTTATCTAAAACCAAACCTTTTCAGTTTTAAGTAGATAATTTTATATACACAGACAGGCTATAAATACAGACATTTGTTAAATGTCTCCACTGAATTTCAAGTGACAACAGACCTTGTAGATGTTGATGATGAAAAGGCACCCTCTATTAAAAAAATTTTCTTGAAGCTTCATAGTAGCCACATTAAATTAGATTATTCTAGAATGATCCTTGGCATATAGGACTTACTAAGTGAACATGATCCATGTAACCTGCACTACTACAAAGTATCCAAAATCTAATGCATCTATAGCAAATATTCAAAAAAAAATGCTATATAATTTCTGAAATTTTTTTAAAGAAGAATATATAAAACTCTTTCCCCAACTAATGCTAAAGGAGAAAAAAAAACCTGAATAACTGAAGGTTTTAAGTATTAGTCATTACCCCATTTATTTCAGGCAGTACTAAATATAAACAAATTCTACTATACACAGGAGTTTGAACTGCTCCTCACAACTCACAATTCTGAGTTGTCAGAGAACTATTTTAAAAATCATCCAGCTTCTGAATTTTAGAAACACAAGAAGCAGTAGTCTACCTGCAGGTTTTTAAAAATTACTTAGTCTCCATAAACTGATGGGGCCCAAAGGCAGTCAGAGAGACCACAGGGCCTCCCATGCTGACATGGGTGTCCCAGTGTCTGGGCACATGCGTGAACTGCGAGTGGGATGAGGGGTGCTCTAGTGGTCAGATGTCAAGTTTAATACCCAGGTGCAAGTCCAGAGAGGACTTCCTGGATTTGGAAATTGGATTTGCTGCTAAGTGCCTGGTCTCTGCTGCAGCCTGTACCCTCCGTTGGGCGCCAGAATGAGTGAGCTCTGCCTCACTTGGCTGAGCCCTTCCAGAGGGCAGGGCTCACTACCCAGTAGCTCCTGGCCTAAGATGAGACAAACTTGACTCTTTCAGCCTCCCAGCAAGGCCCTGAGACAGTCAGCTTGCCCAGCCCGGGTCAGAGAGCTGTGAGGGGAACAGGGGAGGCCCTGGATGGTGTCCCAGCAACTAAACTTTCCAAAGTCATCACCAGAAGTCTAGAAATGTCACCTCAGTTTCTGGACTTAACCCTGCAAACTGCACCCCTGCAGGCAGAGACCTCTGCCTCTTCCTTGGAGGCTCAGCCCTTGCCCTGCCCCTCAGGGACGGGAAGTGGGGAGATGACGCAGACACAGATAGATGAAGAACAAGGAAATGCAACTTCTGAGCTTTGACTAGTGAGGTGTACCACATCCTGTAGATGATTAAAAGTGCCACTTTGGGGATAAGAATTTATATGATCATTCTTTTTAGGATTTAGAAATTACATACATTGCCTAATATAGAAATTCCAGATACTGGTTCATACCAGGTATGCTGATTGCATGCAAGGGGCTTTTAAGTTGCTTCATGCGCTTGTAAAGCAGGTAATCCTCTTGTTGTCTTTTGTTCTTCTCGATGAGCCGTGTACAAGTCACATTAATGGTCGGTCTGGGTTTCTGATGCCTGAAGAACACTTGAGCAGAACATTTTCCCAAACGTTCCTGACCTTCCTGAAATAAAGATTTTGGAATTAAACAAAATGGTTCTGTATCACTCCCCACATACCCTGATACACAAATACAAAGCTGAGAAGTTCCTGGTACATGGCTGGTATGCACTACTGTACCTGGCACAACAGATGTAGTGTTTTCTGCTTTGTCAAAAGTGATTTTTTTTAGCCTTTTTTTTTG